TGGCCTGTCTTCTCATTCTCTTGATGATCTTTGCCTTTTTCTTGGCAAGATGGGAGCCACTGGAGGACTTTGAGCAAAAGAGGAACACAATGGAACTGAAATTTTAACTCTTATTTAATATCCAAGTGGTGGTGTATGAGAAGCAATTTTCTGGAGCTTAAGGGTAAGGTACAGGCAGGAGATAAACATCTGAAAATTATTAGCATGTAAATGGTTTTCTTAAATTACGGTAAGATTCATATAACAAAATCAAACATTTAAAAATGAACAATTCAGTGGTATTTAGTATGTTCACAATGTTGTGTAAGCACCATCTTTATCTAGTTCCAAAATATTATTGTCCCAAAATAAAATCCCTTACCCATTAAGCAGTTCTTTCTCCTACGACCCTCAGTACCTGGCAATCTGTTGTCTCTATGGATCTGCCAATTCTGCACATTTGAAATAAACAGAATCATACAACATGTGGTCTTTTGTGTCTGACTTCTTTCATTGATGTGTTTGAGGTTCATTAACATTGTACAATACCATGCATTAAGACTACATTCCTTTCTAAATATTGTTGAATGTATAATGCACAATTTGTTTATCCATCATTTGTTGAGGAACATTTGGACTGTTTCTACCTTTTTTCTATTGCAGATAGTACGGCACCAACAAACAGTTGTTTGTATTTGTTCAAGTACTCATTTGCAATTACTTTGGGTATATACCTAGCATGAGGATTTTTTTTTTTAAGGTCACAAGACTGGAAGCCAAAAGGGCTCCAGTAGAAAGGGACCAAGATTTGAGTCCTGGAGCAGTTCATTATTAAGAGGTCAGTATGAAGAGGAGGAAGCTATAAAAGACTCCAGGAAGGAGCAGCCGATGGGGTGGGAAGGAACCCAGGAGCATGTGGTGCTCTGCAAGCCAAGTAAGGTGACTTATTCACCTCCCAAGTAAGGAGGGAATGTAGCAGCTGTTGCCCACAGGTCAAGGTCAAGATGAGAACAGACCTCTGGATTCAGAAACAGGTAGGTCCTTGTTATCTTGGCAAGAGTCATCTCAGTGGAATAGGAAAGGCCCCAAAAGAGCAAGTTTAATGGAAACTAATAAAAGATCTTAATAGAGAGATATATCACATTCATGGAAAATTTAATAGTGCTAAGAGAGTGAATTCTGGTTTACGAATTCAATGCAATCTCAAACAAAGTCCCATCATGATTTGGGTAGAAATGATGCTAAAATTTACATAGTAATGCAAAGGACCTAGGGTAACCAAAGCAATCTTTAAAAAGAATGAAGCTCGGGCCCTGGCTGGTGTGGCTCAGTGGACTGTAGGCCGGCCTGCAAACCAAAGGGTCACTGGTTCAATTCTCAGTCAGGGCACATACCTGGGTTACAGGCCAGGTCCCCAGTGGGGGTGTATGAGAGGCAACCACACACTGATGTTTCTCTCCCTCTTTCTCCCTCCCTTCCCCTCTCTCTAAAAATAAATTTAAAAAATAAAATAAAATAAAACAAAGATGGAGGCTTACCTGATTTCTAGACTTATTAAAGCTAAAGTAATCAAGATAGTATTTCCAAGGGGATAAAAGGCAATGTAAAAAAAAAAATACACACACACACACACACACACACACTAAAAAATAATAAGAAAAAAGATAGCACTACCTTAGTACAAAGGTAGACCCAGCAATCAATGAACAACAGAAGAATCCAGAAACAAACACTTAAATAGTCAACCTTAACTCATACCATATACAAACATTAACTGGAAATGTAGCTCAGGATTTTTCCCAAAAGATATCTTATTCTTTTTTTTTTAAATATTTTTTTATTATTTATTTATCTTTAGAGGGGAAGGGAAGGACAGAGGGAGAGAAACATCAATGTGTGGTTGCCTTTTATGCATCCCCTGCTGGGAACTGGCCTGCAACCCAGGCATGTGCCCTGACTGGGAATCAAACCGCAATTGTCTGGTTCGCAGGCCCGAGCTCAATCCACTGAGCTACACCAGCCAGGGTGATATCTTATTCTTAAAACAGGATTCTTGATCCTTCCTTGCCGAAGTTTCCATATCCTGTTCTCCTGGATGCAAAGAAAGCTTTAGTTCACTCTTGACCTTCCTTCTTTACCTCAGGTCTACTCTTCCAATTTCTAGCCATTCTTCCTCCCACACCCCACACCACCTTCTATCTGGTGCGAGCCACCACTGTCTCCACACTGGGGAACTGCTATGGCCTAAAGGGACTTCCCACTTCCTTCCCAGTCCAGTCTCTACCCAGCAGCCATGGGATTCTCATTAAAGCCCTCCAACTGCTTCCCATTGTGCTCCAGAAAGATCCTTACCACAGGCTTTGCCTTGTGTGGCTGTTACTGACCTTCCCTTCAGAGCTACATGGGCCATTATCTACTCCCACACTTTTTTCCTCTTCAAGGTCTTGGCACATCCTATTTCCTCTACCTAGTCTTATCTTCCTCCTTGCTCTTGCTCATCTTTTGGGTCTTGGCATAAATACCTCTTCCTCAGAGGTCCAGCTGACTCCTCCAATCCCAGGAAGGTCCCATATTTTGACTTCATCAAACCTTAGGGTTTTTCCTCCATTACACTTAAGATTTTCTTTTCTTTAAAGATTTTATTTATTTTTCTTTAGAGGGGAAGGGAAGGAGGGAGAGAAATATCATGTATGGTTGCCTCTCATGCGTCCCTTGCTGGGAACTGGCCTGCAACCCAGGCATGTGCCCTGACTGGGAATCGAACCTCAATAGTCTGTTTCGCAGGCCCGTGCTCAATCCACTGGGCAAGATTTTCTTATTCACTGCTCTAGGGGGAGCACACCCACGCCTTTCTCTACCCTTCTTTCCCCCAGAAGGGTTACCTTTGCCTTTCTCTCTCCTACGCTCCAAGAGTTCCTCTTCTGTCTTTGTAACTTGTTTCCTGAGCCTATGAAGCCCAGCTGGCTCACTTCTACCTCCATAACTTTCTGAATACACCTTCTCCTATAGAAAAAAATTTTTTTTCCTATCATGTGTGATCAATGTGGGAGACAGTTAATTGAACTCAGACTGTCTGCTTCTTGGGCAGGAACCCTGTCACTTTGCTGCATTACTGCAGGCCTATGACCAGCTCAGGGCTCAGCATGTTGAGGATGCTTAACAAATATTAAATTTTTAAAAAAGATTTTATTTATTTATAAGGGAAGGGAAGGGAAGGGGAGAGGGAGAGAACATCAATGTATGGTTGCCTCTCATGGGTCCCCCACCAGGAACCGACCTGCAACCGAGGAATGTATGCTGACTGGCAATCGAACCACAATCCTCTGGTTCGCAGGCCCGCGCTCAATCCACTGAGCTACATCAGCCAGGGCCAAATATTAATTAAATGAATAAAGAAACCAATGTTCAGACCCCACTTGCCCATTTTCTGTGCATTATTCGCAAATGGCCTGCTTTTCATAGATTCCTCATAAGCAGCCTGTGGAGGTATGCACCATTGATTCCACTTTACAGGTGTTGGAAAGGAATTGTAAACAAGTCCCATAAACTTGCTTGGCACCCCACCTACTAAAAACAGAGTCAGGTTTTAGATCCAGATCTTTGTGACTCCTGCATGAGATCTTCCCTTCTGCTTTATGCTGCAAGTGACACACCTTGGGCTTGGAAAGACTCAATGGGTTAATGTAGGTATGATACATACTTAATAGGCATTCTGTCTCTATTACTCTTTCAATTAAAAAAAAAAGCCCAGGCTGCTGTGGCTCAGTGGACCAGCCTATGAACCAAGAGGTCGCTGGTTCGATCTCTGGTCAGGGCACATGCCCAGGTTGTGGGTCAGTCTCTTTCCCTCTCTCTAAAAATAAATAAAATCTTTTAAAAAAGTATTTAGTATGTCATGGGGGGAGCACCACACTAGAGGCTGGATATTCACTAGTGACTAAAAATTAACATCTTTGCCATTTAAATCAAGGGAAGGGCGATGGAGACAGACGACAGAAAGAGGGTACCCAAGAAATATGAAGGGAAAAGGAGGAGTGATCAGAAAGGTGAAGTTTGAGGTAGTGAGTCAGCTGATACCTGAAAAATAAGGAAGGGAAGGCCTGAAAGATGCAAGGGTAGAGACTGTCACAGGTTGTGTAACCTGACCTTGGGGAACGTTTGTTCAGTTGCGGGACTAAAAGAGATGGGCCCAAAGATCTTTCCACAGCACAGAAAAGAGGCTGCCTAGAGGCTCTGGGCCTTCGAACTCAGAATAAAGGCTCTCTCCCTCACTCCTTTCATGTTTTGACTAAAAGTCGTCTTCGCAGCGAGGCCTTCCCTGGCTGCCCCCTTCAAAATTTCCATGACCCGCCATGTCTCCATCTCAACAAAATGTATTCTACTTATTTGTCTTGCCTCGCGCCTGCCTCCCTCACTGGACCGAGAGCAGCAGAGCGGCTGAAATTTCTGTCTGTTCCGTGCTGCAGCATCTGCGCCTGGGGCATAGTAGCCAGTCAATAAATACTTGCTAATTAATAGGTACGCTTAGCAGAAAAGGCAGCCGCGGTCAAGGACCCACCATCCCCCGCCAGGGAAGAAAGTGACTCCCAGGCCCACCCTTGGCTGTCTCTGGTCAACTTCAATTACAGCCTCACGCACAGCCTCTGCTCCTCACTTCCAAGTCTTGGGGCCCCTTGCCATCCATACCACCACCTTCCCATCCCATCCCCCAACCTCCCACTGCCGCCATCACTACCGCCGCAGTGGCGCCCGCTCTGCGCACGCTCGGCGGCGTGCAGACGCCTAGCGTCAGAAGACGAAGACCCCTGTGCGTTGGCGCAGGACAGTCCCAGACAGAGGTGGGAGGTGCGTCGGATGCCTGTGCAGTTCCTGGCCCCGCCTACCTTCCCTGTTCCTCCACGGAGGCGCATGCGCGCTGGGAGCGGATGGGCCACCAGGCGCGCGCACTAGGCCAGACGGGCAGCGGAAGCGGGAGCAGCTCTTCCTAGGGTGGGGAGTAAAGGAGTAGGCGAGGGCGCGCGCCGCGGGGGCGCGGGCAGAGTGTGTGCAGGGAGTGGGGGGAGGCCAAGGCGGGCGGGCGCGCGCACGAGGCTTAACCTCGCTCGGTGGCGGCGGCTGTGGCTTCTTTGTTTCGTGAGGAGAAACGAGACGTCCACTCTGCCCCCGACCCAGCCTGGAAGGGAGGGGGCGGTGTCAGGAAGGCGACGGTGCAGCCGACTCTCGGTAAGGAACGTGGGCCGCGGGGGGAGCGCGGCGCGGGGCGTGGGAGGACGGTTTGAATGGAGCCGAGGGGGGAGGGGGCCTCTGGCCCCCGAAGCGGGGCCGGGGTACGGCGTCGCCCGAGGGTCAAGAAGCTCGGCCGGCATCGCGCACACGGGGAAAGCTAAAGTGTAGCGAGGCCGCGGCAACTACAGTATCCGCGACCGGCGGGGTGGGGGCCAGTGCCGCGTGGAGGCCGCGCGCCACCTGCGCGCGCTCTGGTTGGGTTCGCCGGACAAAGCTTGCCGCCCCCTCTGCGGGCCAGGGGTCCGGCATCGATCGTAGTCTCCACTAAGGCTGCAACAATAGCCAGGCGTCGGGAATTTTCTGGCTACGTTATAACGGGTCCAACACGAATGTTATCTTCTTGGGGAGTCTGCAGTCGCTTCTCAGTGGGAAAAATCCCTGATGGTGCATTGTCGTCTGGACACGAGCATTCGCAGCCCCCTTGGGTTAGCCGACATACAATTTTATTTAAAAAATCACGTATTATTGATTTTCAAAGAAATGTAAATAACTTGCGCCATTCTTTGGAAGTAGTGACTTAAAAATGTTTGCCTGGATTCGGGGCGCCGGCAGCAATTGGGGTAGGACTGGGGTAACTGCTGGAGAAAGCATTGTTTTTGTTGTGCATCCTTTTTCCTTCCTGCCAACCGATTTTCCAGATTAAGGTTTTTATTTAAAACGTGGACCTTTCAGGAGAGTGTTTTGTGCCAGTCTTGAAGACACTGGTCTTCATCCCCGTCCCAGCCCCCCACCCTCAACCCCTGTTGAATTCTTGGGAAAGTAGGAAATAAGTGTAAGAACCACTTGCCAAGAATTTGAAACAAGTTTTCAGTTTAAATTGAGGGACGAGACTAATGTTTCATTTCAGTCTGTCACTGAGCTGTGGGACTTGAAGCAGATAGTTTAATCTCTCTGAACCTCTTAGTTACCTCCTTTGTGAAATGTGATAATGTTACAGATGGAGCTGATGAAAGCCTGTGAAATGGTTCCTGGCAAGTGGGAAGCAGTGTTATTGTCTGGTCCCATCTCCTTCATTGCTGAGCAAATATCCATGAAGTCCATACTGGGTGTCAGATGGTTTGGGATTGGATCCCCTAAGGAGCCTCTCCTGTATTTAAAGTTACAGGCAGTAAATGTGGGAACAGCTTTCCTTGGTCGGTCTCATTTAATCCTCACAACTCTTTCTGGGAGAGGAATTCAGTGGATGGCCAGAAGGGTGGTGTGAACCAAAGATTAGGAAGGCTGCGTGGAAAAAGGGGCTTTTACTCAGAATCAGAGAGGATGTCCATATATTTTGACTTATATTTGTTCCCTTTGCTACAATGGCACATTTTCTCAATCCTCTCCTGTGTAGAAGTTAACCCCAGTTTGTAATTACATATTTGTTCTCTGAGGGCTATCGTCTGCCACAGTTCCCTGGGCTGGCACATGGTAGACCCTTAGTGAACATTTGTGCAATGAACGAAGGGCCCTTGGGAGGATTGGGTGAACAGGTGTGTGAAGTGCTTTAACAGGCACCGGGGTGGTTGTAAGCAATAAACATTAGTTACTATTGGGTTTTAACTTTACAGGCCATTGTTTCCCAAACCCCATTTCCTTGGAAAAGGAGGGTATGGGGGGTGGTTAGTATAGGGTGGTGGTGAGGAGTGCTAGTTCTAGAATCAGACCTCCTGGATTCACACCCAGCTCTCTAAATTTTAATTTGAGCTCAAGTAAGGTCCATACCAGTGGGTTCTCCCACTTGTGAAACAAGTGTGACAGCGATGCCACCTCCAACAAGTGGTTGTAAGGGTCGAGTGAAATAACATTGGGATGTGTTTAATACACTGCTGCGAATGCACTGAATGTATGAATCAGTGCATACATGCTTGTGAAAATAACAAATGTTTCTCCATGTGCCATTTAAAATAATTTTGTGTCCAGCTATTCAGGAGATTTTTTTTATTAGGTATCTTTTTAAAAAATCATTTATTTTTAAAGAGGGAGAAGGAAGGGAGAAAGAAAGGGTTTTAATGTGAGAGAGAAACATCGATCAGTTTCCTCTCCTGCACACCCCAACTGGGAACTGAACCAGCAACCCAGGCATGTGCCCTGACCAACAGTTGAACTGCTGACCTTTTAGTTTGTGGAATGATGCCCAGCCAACTGAGTCATACCAGCCAGGGCTCTTCAGGAGATTTTGACTTGCAGGTTTTTGAGTCAGAGGTAGAGGGTGACATCAGAGTTGTTACATCATCAGTGTAGTGGTCTCCAGACTTTCTGTCTGTGAAAGCAAACATACACATTTTTTTAATTACTACATCCATTTTATTTTATTATTTTTTAAATATTTTATTTATTTATCTTTGGAAGGAGAGAGGGAGAGAAACATCAATGTATGGTTGCCTTTCGTGCATCCCCTGCTGGGAACTGGCCTGGAGGGAACTGGTCTGCAACCCAGGCATGTGCCCTGACTGGGAATCGAACCGCGATTGTCTGGTTCGCAGGCCCGCGCTCAATCCACTGAGCTACACCAGCCAGGGTACATTTTTATTTACTAACCTTTTCCACTCCTTGTGGGCACATGAAGCACTGGGAGATAACACCAGAGCAGATATATGAGGGCAGGAGGAATTAGCTATTTTCGGTGAATGTCTGGTGAGAACAACACTCTCCTGGTGAAGAAACACATCCAGGGGTATTTCTTCTCCAGGGGCTGTCCAGTCATCCACCCTGGTTTTGATTCCTGGTTTTGCCACTTTCCTTGGTGTCTCAGAGAAATGGAAGTGATTGTGCCTGGCACATAATAAGTCCTCAGATGTGCTAGCTGATTTTGGCCTAGGTCATCATTCCTCGGCTGCCATGGCACAGAGAGACGCATTCACATTAACAAGGGACTGGCCCTGAGTGGTATGACTCAGTGGGGTTGGGTGCTGCCTCCCAAACTGAGAGGTCACCTGTTTGATTCCCAGTCAGGGCATGTGCCTGGGTTGCAGGCCAGATCCCCAGCCGGAGGTGTGTGAGAGGCAACCAATCAGTGTTTCTCTCCCTCTCTCAATCTCTTTCCCTCTCTCTAAAAATAAATAAAATTTTAGAAAAAACACAAAATTTAGAGTGAACACAATGTGAATGGTGCCCCCTGGAGTTGTACAAGAAGTGGCTCAAGAGGGACCCATTCACACCAACCACAGACAGAACACAGTGTGAATAGGAGTTGTGCAAGAAGTGGCCCAGTCACTCATTCCCCATTCATATGGCAAACAAATGTGCATTGAGTGTCTGCCATGAATCAGGCGCTGCTGGGGGCTGGTGATTCAGCAGGGAGCAGGCAGACAAGGGCCCTGTTCTGGTTCGCTCATATCCATCTCCCTATTTGCAAAGGGGTACAGTAATAGTACCCAACCTGTAGGATTGTTGTAAGGACTAATCAACAACAACAAAAAATGACAGATATAAGTTGACTAGAAGGGTTGGTACATAGTGCTAAACAATTGGTAGCTGTTGTCATTTATTAGGGTTCCTACAACATCTTGGTGGGTACAAAATATATTTTGGCCCAGTTGCAATTGTTCTCTGTGTTTTCAAGGTGGTAACAAAGGAATCCTCCATTTTTTCTTAATATTTAAAAGTAGTATGCTTTTCAGTTTTACCATAAGGCATTGGGAAAAGGGGGAAGCATGTTTGGTGGCATAGCTTTTGACAAGTACCAAACCTTGTTCATTTCACATATTTTCTTTTTTTTTTTTTTAAGATTTTATTTATTTATCTTTAGAGGGGAAGGGAAGTAGAGAGGGAGAGAAATATCAATGTATGGTTGCCCCTTGTGAGTCCCCTGATGGGAACTGGCCTGCAACCCAGGCATGTGCCCTGACTGGGAATCGAACCGTGGTTGCTTGGTTCCCAGGCCCGCGCTCAAGTTCATTTCACATATTTTCTAATACCTTGTAACATCGATTGGAACACTTTCAGAGCAAATTGAAGTTTTCAAAAAAAATTAGAGTTAAAGGGATGTGGGAAACCTACTGTAAAAAGGAAGTAATAGCTGTGGGAATATGGGGGGGGATGTCTGAGGGGAACAGGTCAGAATTGAGTCTGAGACCAGATGGAGAGCTAGCCTTACTGTCAAATTTATAGATAGTCTCCCAAAGAAATATTAGGCTAATGAATATGATCTGTGATATTTTGGTTGAAGTTTTCTATTAGTTGCATGTTGCTGTTAATTTTTCAGGATATGATTGTGATGGGCATGAAAATGAAATTCAGCCTGTATTCGTGTTCCTATACTTGGGCCTGGAGGGAAGCACCAGGTGTAGCTGGATTTGTGGGGAGATGAGATTTCACAGGGCAGGGGCTCTCTTTAGAAGTCAGGTACATGTCACCAGGCTTAAACCTGCCCTGCCCCTTCCCTGGCCTTTACACTCCCAAGTGGTTTCCAGAGCTTCGCTTTGGGACTTTGCTAAAGGAACATGTCTTCATTTTTGCTCATGGACAGTTGTCACTGGGAGCAGCCTGAGTTTTGCTCTGTGTGAAGCTCACCAGCTGTAAGTGTGATAAAGGAGGACTGGCCCTGTTTTTAGTAGCAGTGGCTTTTAAAATGGTTCCTTGGGCTAGGTTAAGTTCTCCTTTAACCGGTAGGTTGCACCCCACTGGCTCAGGAAGCAGGTGGCTGCGCGGCAGTTGCTGCTTCACCTGTTACAGTGGGAGACTCAAAGAGGCAGGATTTAATGTGTGCCACCCTGACTTACCCTGAGAGTCCCAGTAAAGTGGCACAATGGATGATCTCACTGTCCTAATGGTGATGCTGAAGCACAGTGGGCTGCTTGCTACGCCTTGGGAGCTATATCCGGCCCTGGTGACTGCCGAGTGTGTTTCTGACCACAGCCTGGACTTTGGGCACTCTGGGCACCCTTGCACAGTCCCCCAGAACACACCCTGCACAACTCTGTCTGTTGGGGGGCTTCTCTTTGCCTTCACTCTAC